TACACACTCCCAGGCTGGGGAGTATCTATTGTAAGCTATTTTCATATAACTATAAAATATCAATTATCTGACGAGAAATGATAATGGAATTGAAACATAATAACAACAATTAATACCAAGTTAAAAGCAAGTTTTTAAAATATTTTACTCGTGATTTTTACTTGTTATCATTAAAGAATTATTTTACTGAACTAATAAAAAATAACGTCTCAGTTCCCCATGTGCACTTTCTAACACAACCACAAATAGATCGGCCGCTGTTGCGGCCGATAATAAGCATGTTTCACTACGTCTAGAGGTTGCTAGCATGTGATATGCTGGTAAAAAATGATACGCACAGTTTCCTTTACTGAGAAATTGTGATGAAGATAATGAAATATAATTAATGTACTTAAAGCCTCCACTCTTTATACAAAGTATATCTGGGAGGTAATGTGACTGAAACATATTAAATGGAAACTGGAAATAAATTTCATCTAATTACTTAAAGAACTCCATCCTATAACCTTAAACCTGTCCTTCTCCCTATCACTATTTGTCCATGTATGTACAATGTCTTTCCCAACAATTTTTTGGGGAAATACAGTTACACTTGTTTTTCTTATATATGTTCGGAATTTAAAGTAAATAAACTTTCAGTGGAGTAACATCAAACTGTTTGCCTTTGCTAGAATACTGGCATAAATGTTTGTGCTCTTAACTAATTTTTCATACTTTCTCATATATATTTTATCTTTTTAGAGCAGATAGTTTCTCCATTGTTTTTAACTTCTTTTTCTATCTCATCATTGCTTTGCTACATTCCTTGACTTCTCATATCTTCTAAAGCTTTATCCATTCCCTCTGTCGGCACCTCTTCGTCTTTGTTTTCCCTTCTTTAAACTTGGTACACGTTCTAAAATAAAATTGTCTTTTTTTCTTTCCTTCTGTAAGTTCATAAACTTTCTGTTTTCTCTGCGAGTATTTTCAATAATTAATTTTCTTTCGCTTTCATCTTCTCCTCTAACCATTCGTTGGCATCATACTTTCAACAGTAATTATATTACTAGTTGGTCCTGATTTTAAACTAAAATCTTACTGTCTCAGGTCTCTCTTAATAAATATTATTTGTAACGCATGAAGAAAATTCTTTTAAAATATCTGGAGTATTAACATTAAAATATTAACCACGAGACAGAAAGCCAGTAAATTTTTTCTCACTTTTGTTTTTAAAACACCACGGAAAATATTTTTAAAAATACAGCAGTAAGATCAAAAACAATCAAAAAGTCTGCAACATTTAAATCTGTGGTCAATTTTTTTTTAAAGCCAGTGATGCTTGTTTGTTTGTTTATATATTGTTTAACGTCCCTCTCGAGAATTTTTCTCTTTTATGGAGACGCCACCACTTGCCGGTGGAGAGATGAAAATTTTTCCTATACGCGGCTTTGAGGGCCATTGAGCAGGGAGGGATCTTTTTCGTGCCAACACCTACTGCGACATGGGACCGGTTTATACAGACTCATCCGAAGGGCCTGTCTCCACATCCAACAATGGGATTCGAACCCGCGGTCAACTCCTTACGTCACGACTCTAAAGCAGACGCTCCTACCAATGCGTCACGCCGGCGACGGATCGCCATAAAACAAATTCGAAACAAATAAAAGTCTATGACATACAGATCCCTTATTTAAAATATTCCCAACTTCTGAAGCCTTTACAAAGTAAGGTTCCGTAATCAATTTGCATAAAATTCTCAAAGCTCTCAAAAGACAGAAAATAATCTTATTTTGCAGTGACAGAACAATGAAATTCTGTAAAAAAGAGTACAAACTTTTTAATGAAAAAAGTATTTGCAGTATTATGAATGAAACACTAAGCCAGTTTCCTCTAAAATTAATAATTGGATGCTTTTCTATTCCATGGTATTTCATAAAAAATATCTAAAATGTTTTGATCTAGGTCCAGCACCATCTTTGTACAAAAGACTTGAAAAAAATCCTTAAAAGATAAACAATAAAAGATTCTTTCAAGGAATTAGAATACACATTAAATTTTTTTCATCTAACTCCTCAATATAAAAAGCCTCTACAAAGCACACTTCAGAAAACTGTAAAAGAGGATGAATGCAATATTTAAAAAGAATGAGCAGTATGGAATATATCTTTGCTTAAAATGTCCCTAACTTTCTGTCCAGTTGCACATCTGTCTTTCAGAAAACTGAATTTAAGATATTTGTAGCACCATTTTGCAAGAAGATAAATCATTTAAAATCTCTTTGTACCATTGACATATTTTTTACTCTTTCCATTACAAAACTCTCACACAACTGCAGTAAAAATCTTTTCTCCTGTGTTAATTTTAACACCATAAAGTGTTTCCCGTTTTTATTGTTGCATCCCTCTGCATAAGTGTATTTGTACACATTCAGCTGATTTCTTGCAACAACACCCATTTCACTAGTTAAAACAGCTGCCGTACTTTTGCTAGGTATTTTTTTTTTTACATTAATAACAAACAAATTTAAAAACATCTTCAAAAAGTGGAGCAAAATGTACAATGCAAACATAATGATTTCTTAAAAATATAATTCTTAATTAAAAATTGAAAGGCTTTCCTTTTGATATATCTTGGAAATCTGATTTTATTTTCTATATGTACAAAGTCATGAGAATTTTCTTCCTCATTCTCTTTTTCCAATAACAGAAAAACCATTTCTCTTTTTAATATTCTCTACATATGTTTTAAAACTATTACATTACACAACTTTTTCCTCTTTTTGGATTTTTACTTCTTTCTGCTTGAAAACTTCAAACCTATTGCTTTAAAATTTCAATTCTTTTCTTTTTGCTTTTCGAGTTTCTATTCATGTTCCCATCTTCCCAAGTCAAGGGTTTCTGATCCATTCCCTCCACATTTCTGTGGATCGGAGTGGATCAGAAACCCTAGACCTGGGTAGATGTCATGTTCCAAATATTTATGGATCTTAAACAGTCATTTAAAGCTGGATTTTCTCTCTTTGTATAATTGCTATTTCTCGTTCATTATTTTTTCCTGTAATTTTTGAGAAGTTATTATGTTATCTTCTTTTTATTTCTGAATTGCATCTTCTTTGGTCTTCCTTTCTTTCTTTGAAGTTGGTAATTAAGGTACTCCGTCCCTTAGGTTTAAAATAAAATTATGTATTTTTCACCAGCTTTTCTTTAGTACTTGTTATTATGTAAAAAATTTATAATTATTTACCAGTGTATCCAGGTGATCTTCTTAGATAATTGATCATTTCATATACAGTAAATAAAAGAAAACAAAGAGAATTGTCTCTGTTTCTGCATATTGTATTTGATATTTTGACTTGTTTCCTGTATAAAAAAAAATATCCATTGAAGTGAAAGAAGCATAAAAATAAATAGCATTGCATCTAGTCAAATATAACAGCTAAAGACAAAAATCAAACCGACATTAATTTTCAGGATCAAGAGTTATCTCTCTTCAATGAATTTTGAAACAGCAGTAATAATAGGTGTGCGTTTAGTTAATCTTGACTTGCCATGAAAAGTCTCTGTAAATAAGCTACATATCCTATCATAGCCTCTTCTTTGATATGCCAGTTGAAGATGTTTCAAAACTAGTCCTGAAAAAGATATCTTTTTACACATGCTTTCTGAAATGATGTGATTCTCAACTAATGGCATGAGAGTTAGTACAATGTAGATTCTGTTTTGATGTTTCCAACTGCTTTATGATAACAATAATGTACTTCACAGTGAAACTATTAAACTATACTGAACGTAAAATGAGTCAATATTATGATGCTCAACAACTTTCTGAAGTATCTAAAGTCTTCAACTGCATCATGTGCACTAAAAGTGCACCCAAGAATATCCTTTACCAAAGTCTCCAATGAAAAGTTCAGATGGGATCCAGATGCATGTTCTTTCAGAATTGGTGTCGCAAAACCCTCAAATAATTTTTCCTTGTTTTTCTTTCCCACTACTCAGTACTGATCTTCCAAATTTAAGGCTGTCAAACTTCTTGGCATTATGAGCGAACAACACTGGATGTTTCATAGCAGAATTCTTCAGCCAATCAAAGAACAATGCCAGACACATCTCTATAGAAATAGCTGATAAGGCAACACCATTCTTCTACAGCAATGTACCATCATAAGTCAGTCCTGTTGTCTTTGATGCCATTGGATTGATGTTGGTTGTTGGAAGAACATACTGGTCTAATTCAGTTTCTCCATACCATGCTGCCAGTTGAATAATGTAGGCTGATAATCCTGAAAAATTGCGATTACATATCTGTGATATCAGGTTGAACCATCATGTGACCAGTTTTTCAAAAAATATTATTAGTTATGTAGACACTTAGAGGGGTAATACGGAAATGTGTGGGGTCCTTGAAAAAATCCATATTAGGCGAGGCGTAAGCCGAGCCCAATATGTATTCTTTCAAGGACCCCACATATTTCCGTATTACCCCCATAGGCGCTTGGGTCAAGGATACTGTATTTTTTCTATATAATGTATTGTCGAGGAAATTCGAACTATACTCGTAACATTTTTTTTCAGTGTGCAGTGTTAATTTTTAGTTTTTTGTAAACCTTTCTGCTTCATTACACTAGAATGTCGCGGAAATTCGATTTTATACACGCTTTAAAAATGACACATCCCACTGTATACTAAAAAGAAACAAGGCTTGCAACTTCATTTGCCCCTTTCCGTGCCCCAGACTCGATTTTTTCCTGTTAAAAGTTATATGCACCATTTACCAGCTGAATTACGAACCCCCATCTCTCCAGCAAATTCTTATATGATGATTAAAATCCTCAGGCATAAACTTTTCATCCATCTTATATTTTTAAATAATTATTTTCTCTCCAATTGCTCCCGTTTAAACTTCTAATCACGGAAGTTGCATACATATGAAACCAAAACGGGCGTTCCGGATTAATCGAGAGTTCCGAATGACGCAGATGCTATGTATACGCCAGAGAGTATCGAACATATCGCGGGAAAATGGATGAAGATCAACAATGCGCTCTCGAAACTGTCATCAATGGCCATAATCTGCTATTAACTGGACAAGCAGGAACGGGGAAAAGTTTTGTTGTGAAAAATATCATTAAGAAATTAAATTCAAGATTCTGTGTGACGGCCTCTACAGGATTAGGTGAGAAAAGAGACATAAAACACCTTGCATATTTGTCATTACAAGATATACTATATGGTTATTGCTCCTTAACACGTTGTTTATTCTTCAATTTTTGCATTATAAATTTGTATCCCTTTTGGGATATAACAACCAAATGCACATTTTCAAATGGTTTATTTATCCCAATATTCCCATCTGCTGTTAAAGGTGCAATATGGACACAGATTTGATGTTAATATTTTCTGTATAATCAGATATTATGACATATAGATCTACATATTCTCATTGCATTTTACACAAAAATAAAATAAAGTCTTATTTCATTCAAAAGTTATTAAAACTTGAATTTTTTTGGCGGGTTTGATTGACATATCCTTTCACTTTCACACTTTTCCTAAGTATTAAGAATAAAGTTAAAATTTTTGAAAGTGCAAGGATGTGTCAATCAAACCCGCCAAAAAATTTCAAGTTTTAATAACTTTTAAATAAGATAAGATTTGTGTGTGTGTCTGTGTGTGTGAAATGCATATAAGTCGTAATATTATACAGAAAATATTTAATTCAAATCTGTGTCCATGCACATATAAGTAAAATGAACACATTAAACTCTAGACTTGAAATTGTTATCAGGAATAAATTTCCTTGAAATATAACATTAAATATGAAAATTTTGATTAAATGCTGTCACATGCAGTATAACCCTCAAAATACTTTCTCAATATAAAGGCCGTAATGAAAAAATGTTTGTTTATTACTACTATTTAAATATAATTATGTAATGATGAAAAAAATGGTTAGGCGTAGGAGGTAATATTTTACAAGAAAAATGTAATTGTTGGTTAAGTAACATGTTTTTTTTTGGTGACAGTAATTAAAAACAACAAAATGTGTTTTTTAGGTGCTTCATTATATGGGGAAGTCACCAAATCATGCACCATTCACAAATGGTGTGGCCTGGAAGATGGGCGTCACCAAAATGAAGACCTGTTACATCTTTTGCAAACAGATGAAAGATTTGAAGTTGCCAAAAAAAAAACATTAAAGAAACTGATTGTCTTTATATCGATGAAGTCTCCATGATATCACAGAAAATTTTACAACAGATTGAGTTTGTTTGCAGAGGTTTAAGAAATGTGGACCTATTTTTTGGTGGCCTACAAGTTGTGCTAGTTGGGGGTTTTTATCAGTTACAACCCGTGCGAAATGAAATATATGGTGACTTTGGACATCCGTGTTTTTTAGCCCATTGGTTTAAAGATGCCTTCCCTCATGTAATTAATCTGAAAATTATACACAGACAAGATGAAACGGATCTAATAAATGTCATTAATGAAATGGAACAAGGCCTTCCTTCACCGCATACAGTAGCGTTCCTCAACTCTTTATCCAGACCTTTGTCTGCAGAAAGAACTCTAAGTGCTGTTCATCTTTTTGCAAGAAATATTGATGTCATGCTCTTTAACCAAAAAAAATTACATTCTGTTGTCGGTGACCTTCACACATTTAAGTCAGAGGACAGTGGGGAGAGTAAATTGTGTGACCAATTCTTTGCGCCTAAATATTTTGGAGTGAAAATTGGATGCCCTGTTATGCTTCTAATAAACTTAACGGACCACCTTGTGAATGGGAAGATAGGAACTGTGAAACTTATTGAGGATGAATTCATCCATGTAACATTTTGTTTGTTTGGTGAATCTCGGACAGTTAAAATTTCAAAGTTTACATTCAGTAAATTTGACCCTGTCTCAAAATCATCCATTGCATCAAGAAGGCAGTTTCCACTTAATTTGGCCTATGCATTTACTATACACAAGTCTCAAGGTATGACAATTCAGAATTTAGTGGTCGATTGCAGTAATGCAGTATATCCTGGTCAAATTGGTGTTGCAATTGGTAGAGCACAAACCACTGATGGATTATGTGTTAAAAATTTCAAGCCTACTTTGTGTCGTGCACATCCAGCAGCGGTTCAACATTTTTACGTCCAGTGTCGTTATGGAGAAATTAGACATGACTGTACCTGTTGCAATAAGAAGAAAAGACAAGATGGAAAAGATGAAAATGATGATCATGATGATGAAGGAGATGACAAGGATGATGATAATGGTGATGATGATAATATTGAAGGTGATGGCTGTCAAGGTGATGAATCAGACTTGTCAGACTTTGAGTATGACATTGTCAAAGAAATCGAAGTTCAGGAAAAGAGTGCTAACAAGACAGAGGAATTAATGGAAGTCCTTTCCTTCATTATGGAAGAATTTCAAGATACACCTCTTTGTAATGATGCAGCTGAAGTGCAGCATGAAATCCTCCTGACACCTAGTCCATTTATTGAAGGTTTTCACAAGCATAAAACAGAAGTTGAGAATATTGGCAGTAGTGTTTTTCCCACGGATAAGTGCAAGTTTACCCAATCTGATTTTAGAAAATTTTATACTCATTTCAACACATATATTTCCTCTGATCAATTCAGAAATGACACACAAAATGTTTGTAACAAGTTTCATCATAAAGCTCTTCTGTATAGGTTTATGACAACATCTATGTTTAAAGTACAGCGAGATGTCTTAAGGGAAGTAGCTAAGAGAGACGAAAAAGAAATTCCATCTCTGCTGGAAAAAATTTCTGAAGATAAAACATTAAGTGGACCTGGAAGGGGGAAAATCCGTTATATTGGAGGATATGTACTCGCAAAGTTGAAATACAGAAACTCTCGTGTAGTCAAGCGATCAGCCTTTGCCCCTGGAAAGGAAGAAGTGATGGAGGAGTGTGAACGTCAGAAGATCCTCCTTAACTCTCTGTGTTCAACAGAAGCAGATTTAATTGACAACACTTCTGATCCAGAAAGCCTGCTTGAAACAAAAAGAAAACAGAATATGTCTGGAAGCCTGTGTAATATTAGTGATCAAACGTTTAACTTTTTTCAACAATTAGAATTGAAATCCCGGCAATTATTTACATATGAAAAACTTGTTGACACCAAATCAAAATTTTTTGAAGTTGTGAAAAATTTGTTACTTGATGATTTCCACTCAAAAAGCTCCTTTTCAGACTTGTTCAGAAACTTAAAGGAGGAAGACAGTGATCATGACAATGAATGTGTTTTTTGTGACCATTGCAAGACTTGCAAAACACTGGTGTATTTGTACAAGGAAATCATGAGTCTGTTTATCAAAGTTTCAATGAATCAATTTAGGAAGGATTTCTTGAGAGCACTCTCTGTGGAAAAATCAAAAGCATTAAGACAGAAACTGAAAAATAGGGAAGATAAAAACAAAAAAACATTTAATTTAAAAGAGGTCCCAAATGACAATTCAGTTAATAAGTTAGCTTCTCACCTAAAAATAAAAAGTGAAATGTTGAGGCAGCCTAATTTTCTGGAAAAAAACCTGCACAAAATCACAGCTACTAGATCTTTGCAATGCATATGAAGTAAAGATTGCTAACAACAAGAAGAAAGCAGAAATCAACCAGGCATTGGTGAAGGCAGTACTAGAAGCAGACTTTATGAAAAATCCAGATGCTCTCAGTAAGTGTTTTAAGAATAATTCACTTAAATAATAAATACATTTATTATATTTCCAAGGCTGTGAATGATAATAGTACAGAGTTAATTAGTGGAACTAATATTTTGTATTGTCTGCTATACTTTATTTTCTGTGCAACACTTGAACTGTTTTTTTTTCAACTATAGAACCCAGGGGATCTAATAATCCAGACCTTACAGAACTAGTCAGCCTGGGATCTTCTGAAGCACAGGCAGTTGAAGCAAATGTGAACCAACCAGGAACTACTGTTACCATTCAAGAGCCACAAGGGTCACATTCAAAGCAAGGTATCTGATAAATATTTGTTGCATGATATATCCAGAAAAAATTATTAGCAATATTTCTTTTTAATCAAATTAATGAGTTTTATACATGTATTGGGACTAGTACCTGTTAAAAAAATTATACAGTTAATCAAAGAATGTCTCACTGCAGTTCCTTTGTTTAATAAATTTTATTCCATTTAGGGGTTGATCCATGTCAAAGCAATCCAGCTGGCAAGTTTATTTCAAGCCCAGGTAGTGAACATACAATTATATATATTTAATTGAAAGTTCAAATTCAATGCAGATCTATTTTGTGTTACATTTATAAATTATGTTCTCTCCAACTTGATGCCTTTGTTTTGGGGTGGGGGGTATAAGGAGGATCATTATAATTCACTACTTCACACAAAGATTGTTCATTACCTGAGGGTGTGTCATGACCTCGAACCAAAGTCATTTGGGAAAGTTCAAGGTCACTGAAAAAAAAATGTGCATAATATTTCTGATGCATATTTGGTATTAACCTTTTTATTAGACTGTACCTTAGATTGGTTTTTAAAATTAATTTTTAACCTTTTAAGTCATTGTTAATATTATTTTAATGTATTTTGAGCAGAGTTCCCAATTGAATGCCCTGGACCCAGTACATCAAATTCTTTTCCGTTGGAGGAAAATGAAGATCCAGATGTAATCACAAAATCATCAAGGGTAAAAGGTTGCAGTAAACGAAAACCGTCAAAAGGCAAGGGTAAAGCCAAGGCAAAGAAGAAAAAAGTTAAATTCCCATGTGGAGGATGCAGTTATGAATGTATAGAAAATGCTATAGCATGTGATGGTTGTGATGATTGGTACCATTTTCAGTGTGTTGATATTGACCCAGAAAATACACCAAATGAATGGTATTGTCAGCATTGCAAAATGTAAGTATGATACTTTGCCTATCGGTTCTTTAACTCATAATTGATCAATGAATTATTTTTATTTCACATAAAATTATATATATATAACAAGGTAAATCTTAATTAAATCTACCGGTATAAACAATTTTTCCAATTCATCAAACCATTTTGACACTTTATGTTTGGGTGCAACATTAATTGTAATGGTGCATGATTTATATAGTGTACTCACCTTGACCTTAAAATGACATTGGATCAGCTGGTGCCTTGACATCTCCAGCATTAGACTTCTTTGAAATTGATGGCTGACCAAGTATAACAGAATTCATGGTTCTACAGTATGTAAGGTAAGTGGGGTTTGTATTGTTTCCTTGGAAAATTCCCCTCTGTTGTGAGAACAAGTTTTCAATTATATCAGAGTTTACTCGGCTTGGCACAATCGAACATGATTTTTTTTTTCCAGTTTATATTCACATAATTCATAAAAACCAATCAGCAGAGATGTTATATCAGCTCTTGTCTGATGAGATATCAGACATTTTTCCTTGTCTTTTATGCTGGTGTCAGATTTAATAGTTTTTTCCCATTGTAGGAACCAGTCTAATGCAGTTTTGTTTTGTACGAGTCTTTGATCTGACCTGTCTGTGATGGGACGTGTATCTCGAAAGTTTTCAACAAGAACACTTGTGTGAGTTAGTAGCTCAATGGTGCTGTTGAGATGGTCACTGCTTTTCAAGGAGATAGCATAACACTGGACCAGATGGAGCATATCCTTATCTAGAACTTCTTCAGCCAGGTGATTTCTCATTTTTGACTCTCCTGTTAGGTTGAAGTGTTCATTTGAAAGTTTTCTGTGCACCGGGAAAGGATTAGTTGATATGTCCCACATGTAAGCACTATATTAATGTTCCCAAAGAATATAATGACTCTTGTGATACAAACAACGTTTGCTTTGAGGTTTGTTAACACTTTTACTTAGATTGTTTCTAATTTTTTTCATTAGATGTGAGTAGTCCATTATAAAGAAGATATTCTGAGACAAAGAAGAAAACACATTCTGAATTCGCATACTAGGAGAGGTGGAGGTAAAGTCACCAAGCAGTATTTTTGCTAAATCTCGATTTGTTGCAGCTCCATCAGTGCTAATATATTGCACATTAAAGCCAAAAGTGTTAAGAGATTGTATGATTTTCCAGATCAGTAAATACAAATCAGAAGCTGAAGCCTGCACAGTTGGGTAGTGAAAGAGTGGAAATCTGAAGCCAGTGAAACCAAGATATGAAAACTGCAAAACGTGTGTGGCCAGTTTCAATTCCTTCTTTCCATAGTGAATGCTGTTCATTATACTGGATTCTTCACCGAGATCTGTGAAACCTATTAAATGGTGAAAACCATCTTTGGAATAAAACTGGAGGTCAGATTGAATGGACATTTCATCCAGTATCAGTCCTCCCTCGTATCTTTCTGGTGGTAGATTCTTGGAGTCTGCTTCTGCACACATCCAATGCATAAGGTCTTTGTTTACTCCTGGTTTCTGATGAACCTTATTTTTGTGTAATTGTAGGATGCGCTGGGAGGGCAAGACCATGAAGCCACTCTCACGCAAATCTTTATAGCCACGTGGGCTTCTACACCATAAGCTCAAACACACCCTGATAATGTTTTTGTCCCAACGACGACCATTTTTAGCTGTTTTTAATGCTTCTTGTTGGGATTTTAAAAATGCTAACATTTTAGGGGGACAGTCAGGTATAATAGAGTTCAGAATAGTTTGCAAGTCAGTATGGTCAGGTTCAGACAGTAGAATTTTGTTGTTGTCATGATGGAGGCCAACGATCTTATTTTCATCATTATGACTGAGATTTACTGATGGCAATGACTGTGTTTCTGGGAAAGGAGTGTGTGACTGGTTTGTGATGTCAAGACAGAACGGCAGGGGCTTTTGTTGAGGGACATGTAGAAGAACTGGATTTCTCACTTTGTAGATTCAGTGTTGGTATGTTTTCTACAATATTTTTATCAACCTGTTCAGATGTCTTTTTCAGAAAGGTTTTACAAGAAATGCACACATTTGTAGACTGATGTTGCCTTATTGAAAGAAATGTATTGCATGTCGTTGAATGGTAGGATGTTATATGGTTATTGCATGCAATACCGGAGTGAATTACTTTTAGCACATTGGGACTGTTCAGTTGCACATTGCTCTCAGGAACACCTCTGCATATTTTCATTGTTTTAATGGCAGAAAAAATTGATGTGACTGACTTTTCTGTGAGTTCAAAGGTATCATTTAGAAACCCTAAGTCTTTGGGGAGCACTTGTTTCCCACAGGATATCACTTTCCATGTTTTTTCACATATGTCGAACATAACTTCTACAAAAATCTGACTGTTGTTTAATGATACACCAAGGAAATGACCAAATGTTATTTTGCTGCTGTCACAAGGGTTGGATGGAATGTGGAAAAAATCGGGGGGAGAAACTTTGGGGATGTCTTGAATACTGATGTTTTTTTGCATTTTGATCTTTAAATTTTATGCCATGATAAATTATTTCAATGTCTGTCCAGTTTGCACACGAACGTTTTCTTTTAACAGTCACTTTAAACAGTTTTTTTTATTTCTTTACCTATGGTACGGTTATTTACATTTCGCATTTTCTGTGTAATGTCCTTAATGCTAAGGGAATTGTTTTCATCTTCTTCAATGTTTTGAAAAAGCCTAAATATAAATTTAAAATATATTTGTTAAAAAAATCCTTTTACATAAATTTTTGATTCACTTGGAAACACTTGTTTAAAATGTAAATATGTTGATTTTGCTTCCCCTCCCCCCAAAAAATATTAATATAAAAATATATCATTTTTTTTATTATTTTACTTATAAGATTTCTGTTCTGTTTTTGTTCATTTATGGATTTCACTTTGTTACTTGTTTATTTAATTATAGTATTAGAATTATCAATTAAAATATTGTAATTGAATAGTAAAATGTTAACATGCAGTTGTGGGACATTCGTTTTCTTTATTCATTTTGAAATTAGCCGCCAAGAAAAGAATTTGTAACGTTCGATACTCTCTGACGTATACATAACCTCTGCGTCATTCGGAACTCTCTATTAATCAGGAACGCCCGTTTTGGTTTCATATGTATGCATCTTCCGTGATCTGACGTTTCAATGGGAGCAATTGGAGAGAAAATAATTATTTAAAAATATATGATTGATGAAAAGTTTATGCCTGAGGATTTTTATCATCATATAAGGATTATCTGGAGAGATGGGGGTTCGTAATTCAGTTGGTAAGCGGTGCATATAACTTTTAAAAGGAAAAAATCGAGTCTGGGGCACAGAAAGGGGCAAATGTAGTTGCAAGCCTTGTTTCTTTTTAGTATACAGTGGGATGTGTCATTTTTAAAGCGTGTATAAAATCGAATTTCCGCGACATTCTAGTGTATATGAAGCAGAAAGGTTTACAAAAAACTAAAAATTAACACTGCACACTGAAAAAAATGTTTCGAGTATAGTTCGAATTTCCTCGACAATACATTATACAGAAAAAATACAGTATCCTTGACCCAAGCGCCTATGATTACTCCTCTAAGTGTCTACATAACGAATTTATCCTGCCGATGGTTCTTTAAAAGACTAAAAATTATAGTATCGATAAACCGCTTTCACTTAGCGTCCAAGCAAGATGTTCTGCATCCATTGTTGTAGTCAGACGCATTGTGACGTCAGTTATGAAGCTCCACGCGGGTCTCGTGAAAGCAGTATATTGATGATGTGTGGTTGCTAAATTTTTCATATAGGTCACGTGGAGGGGGCATATTAGCAATGTGAGGTGGGTAGACAGCATAACATCGTTCCATGCAGTATTGCTCTCGACCAATGAAATTTCACGATTTTTATCAGAGGCGGGATAAGATGTGATATTCTCGACTCAGTTAGCCTTGTTATTTCCAGATCAATGTAAACCCTGCTGTATTGACGAGGTAGTGGAATTTGTCGTAGATGTTCCGGAAATGATGGTATGGTTTCTATGTCACTATCTGGAATACTGCTGGTAGTAGAAAGCTGACTTCTGTATGTCACCCCTTCTCTTGTCTCCAACGAAGATGAAGCAGCAGATGCAGTTCAACTCTCCAATTGAATTCCTTGGTACAAAACTTCTCTGCATTGCTCTGACTTTTCCGCATTTTTCTGTCAGCGTGTTTCACTGTGAATTACCCAGGCGACAAACTAAACCTATTATTTACCTATAAAGTAACAGGAAAGAAATGTCATAAAAATAAGTGTACATAACATATATACATGAATATAGGTATTCGAGATAGTTATAAAATAGAAAGAATACCTGAGTCACATAATGTGAACCTATATTTGTTTCACAAGTAGCTGCAGCAACTCTGCCACTGGTACTCTCTGGGCCAGAGTAAAAGTTGTTCTTTTGATTTTTTTTTTTTTTTTGCAACAATTTGATTGGAATTTTCGTTGTTTTGTGTGCTCTCTAATGAAGAAATTTTGTTAGATTGTTTCACAAAACTTCATGATGGAGTTCTTTATCTGAGAGGTATTTTCCTTAGGGAGATTCCTGGGAACATATGAATCTCTGTTCTGTAGATAACGATACCATGTGTAATTGCACTGAGAATGATCACTAAATAAATGGTGAGGTATGGTAATCAAGTTAGATCGATGTGACCGTGGATCTTCTTTGTAGGATGAAACAGCAAATGAAAAATTTATATATGCTTTATAACTGGTACTCAGGATTCTCTTGTATTTTTCTTTCTGTATTGTAAACAGATGGTTTGTAAAGTTTTTGAAGGTGTGGTTCTTATCACTGCACTTTCTCCATTTCTAGATTTACTTCTGATCTTATTTAGCAAATAGTACTGGTGTCATCATCCATAACCAAAGTTCTAATTTTATGTCCCTTACTTTCAATTTTTCTTATGATGTTGGCCGCCATTGCTGGTTCAATTGACTTTGAACTTCCAGACCAATTTTTTCTGCAAACATGATCCTTTTCATTCTATAAAATTACACACCAACAGCGAGTTTGGTGTTGTTTTCAAAAGGACTTTGACCATTATTACCTATATCGTGTCGTTTACCAGTTGGAATGATCGTCAGCCCGTCACAGTTCTAGGATTTTACATACAGTAAGCTAGCAAGCCCATAATGTCGCTCTTTTTCACAGCCAGTAAGATCCAAAGATGTATGATAATGATCGCACACTGAACGGAAAATTCAACAACTCTTCGGCATTGTCTCTTTATTTTCATAGTTTTCATCTATCTGTTAGAGTGGATCTTCATTAACGACATCACTGAAATTAGGTTATTATTATTTTCGTCGGTACACGTACTAACGTTTTTAGTAGTGGTAGCTGAGGCTTTCTCGACCCGACCTTACCTATTTCTTTCTCGTTCAAGTATGTCTTTAATGATTTGACAGATCAGATGCACAAGTTTAAAAAGAAATATGCCGAAAGTACTAATTGTTGATCTCATTTTCGTATTTCTAAGAGGTTTTGAATTTCCTAGCAATGGTATTAGTCTTCATCGTGCAAGTATTCAAAACCGAATTCGTTAAATTATGAATGGCGCTGGTTCTGATTTTCTCCTTCGAAGAATGGAGGGTATATTGCTTTGTTGCTGTCGGTCCACCAAGTTTCCGTTCATTTTCTTCCCAGCGGTTTCATGTACTGAAATGAAATTTGAGATACAGGTTTAATAACAAGAATATCTAGGTCAAGTTCTATTTTGGGTAAGATCGAGCCATTTTTGAGAAAGTTATGATCCCAGGATTTAGAAAAATTCCAACTAATTGCAGTTTCCGTTCATTTTTTTTTCGCAGAGGTTACATGTATACCCACTGGAATGAAATTTGGTATACAGATTTTTTATGAGAATATCTAGGTACGATCGAGCCATTTTCGCCAAGTTATGCTCCTTGGACTGAGAAATCCAATTGTTTACAGTTTCCGTTCATTTGCAGAGGTAACACCTACAGAAATAAAATTTGGTAGGTAGAACAGGCAAAAATTTAAAATTTCAATGTATACCAAATATTATATATC